GAGAGAGTGACTGGTCCAAGGTCACCCAGTTGGCTTTGTGCCTAGGCAGGACTGGAACTCACAGCCTTTCACTTTCTAGCCTGGTGCCTTAACCACTACACCAAACTGGCTGTCATAAAAGACCATAAAAGGGTATAATTTCTGAACTATTTGCTCAGAGACCATCAACTACCTGTTATGTCAAACTTAACCTGGGATACAGGAAATAAATAGTTTCAAAATGTACTCCTTGCTGAACACCCGTTCAGTTTGGGCCACTCATTAAGAACACATGATGTACCTCCACAGTTCTTTGTGTTGAAAAGTGGAAAGTGCATGACAGTTGGACCACCGTTGCCTTGGACAATATAGCAATCCTCTGGGTTCTTTTTATCCTTGTCCCAATTTATGGCACCAATTTCAGGAAAGGAAAGCTTGTTTTCCTTGCAATATTGACTTGCTTTCTTGATAGTCTGTGGAAAGAGAATAAGGTAGAAAAGTGATATTTATTAAAATCCTCTCTCTCTCTCTCTCTCTCTCTTTCTCTCTCTCTCTTTCTCTCTCTCTCAAAGTGGCTTGGTAGTGTGGTTTAAAACACCTAGCTTAAGACTAGAAGAGAAAGCAGCCAGGAAGAGGACATGTTCTGGAAAAACTTGAAGTAATAGTGCTAGGTATAGTAACCCTGGCTGAGATCCATGGCAAGAGACCATAAGAAGGGAGCGCAGTGATGAACAAACCCCCAATTTTGGCTTCCCATATTTTCCCATTTTATCTGATCATCAATTAATTTCAACTGATATTAATATCGCTTTCGGAATTTCTACTTGTTTTCATAGATATTTCTCCTAATGTACATTTTTAGATAAAAGTTACTAAATCTTGTTGCATTTAAGAGACTAACAAATTCAGGTCAGAATATGTAACACACTGAGGCATTCTGAAGTGATCCAAACACCTGAGCTGAAATAATACACAGAATCATATATTAACCACCCCAGTTGAGTTTTCACATCACACTGAACCAGAGGCTAGCCAGACGCATTTTAGTCTAGTATGTTGTGCAAAACAAGCCATTATGAAGTGCTATATCCTAATAAGAAATCGTGGTCCCCGTTCAATCCATGAGAACATATTTTGGTTTGTTTCACAATTTGCTTATATTACCCCAAACCTAGAATTCTTGGTGATACATAGCAAAAACAAAGCAAAAAAATAATAATCAAACATATAGGAATAAATTAAAAACTCATTAAAAATAATAAAATAAATCAGTAATCTAATGGATGTCCCAAACCACACTATGAGTCAAAGTCTTACTGGAATAAA